TTTGAATATAGGGCGGGACGCGGGGCGCGGGGCGCGGTCTCAAGGCCGGGACGGGGGTGGCGGGGCCGCAGGAGGCGGAGGGAGGCCGCGTCCGCCGCAGAAGTTGGACTGAGAGCCGCTGGCGACGGCCTCGCGCAGTGGTTGCAGGTGACGCGCGGGGCCCCAGGCTGGCGGGCGAGGGCTCACCCCCGAGGTCACCCTTCTCAAGGGGCTGCGGTGGTCGACGGGGCAGGGGTGGTGTGGTCTGTTTCAAGTTGGGAATCAGGGAGGATGAGGGGGCCACTCCACCGTCGGGCCATCCAGCTGGCCCTCCAGGTGCAGGACAGCCCCTGCCCACCGCACACTGCGCTGCTCCAGACCCACTGTGCGTGTGACAGCGGCTGATCTGTCCCTGGGCTGAACGACCGCCCTGGCCCCTCCGTGACCCGGGAGTGCGGGCGGGAGTGCGGGCCGGCGGCTGCACAGGGGCAGAGGGCGTGAACGGAGGCCAGAGGAGGTGAGAGTGGACAGATCCACCTGTCCCTTCTTCAGAACAGAGTGTGGTGGAGGACACAGTGGGCAAAGGGGGCATCTGGGGTCACCACTGTCCCCTGTGGAGCCTGGTTGGGCCAGATGCCCCCTTGGGAACTTTCTCTTCTTTGTGTTTCTCTGGGGTCTGAGCAGAGATTCTCCATGGCTTCAGTGTCCCCACACTGCTGAGAAAAGGCGTGCGGTGCAGTCAAGACCTCCAGAGTATGACACCTCCAGAGGCCAGGGGCCACTCAGCAGGGCTTTCTACAGGAAAAGTTTGGATTTGAGTGTGCCTCTTCCACACATCTGAACCGCTCCACTCAGGCCACTAAGCAGTCTTGTAGGAGCCAGAAGTCAGGACCTCTCCGAACCCTAGTGACCTGTCCCCAACCCTGCCTTTTCCACTGAGGATTTTCCATTTTCTCCAACAAAATCTGCCTGATGCCAGGAGGTGCCCACCAAAGGCCAGAAGCAAGATCTGACCCTTTGTGGGTCAGTGGATGTGGACTGAGGACACCCAGGTGTTGATGGGGAGACTGGAGTTTGAAGGATCTACCCTGATGGGAGGCTGTGTCACCTTGGGGGTGTCACAGGAACCAGGGTCTGTGGAGGCAGCAGCCGTGGGCAGTGTTGATAGAGAACTTGGGTTACTTGCTGGGAAGTGGCTTATCTAGGTCACCCCTCTTGCAAATTTGGTGCTTTCAACTAGTGTTTTCAATCCCCTATGTGCTGGGTGAACCAGAGCAACCCTGGCCCTGACCCTCCAGGACCTTCCAGGCTGGAGCAAAAGGGACAATCTCTGCATGCCCTGTATGGTCTCGGGCATTTCCTCCTCACTTCCAACTCAGTCTGGGAAGAGGGTCTGGTCCTGCTCCCCTGTGCACTGCACTTTAGGGTGCCCAGCCCTGCCCCTTAGCATAACTCATACCACTGTCTGCAAAGTGCAGTCTAAAACTCCAAAGTAAACTTTCCTGCAACTCAAAAACATTGCTTAGTGACCTGAAGGCCTCTTGATGTTGCAAGGCAGCTTCAACTTCCTGGAGAAACCTGAGATGGAAGGTCCTGCGTCTGGAGTCCAGCAGTGGCCTAGGACTCCCTGTGCAGTAGAGGGGGAAGCTCTGAACAGAAGCAGTTAGGGTGGAGGGTCCCAAAGCAGGTCCAGCAAAAGGAACAGGTCTTTCTCCTCACTTCAAGTAGAAGCCTGCTGGCCCCAGCTGGGCTCCCTGTGGACAGGATCCCAGGAAAGGGCGTGGGCTAGTCCTTCCCCATTCCTGGGGGGTGGGGCACAGACAGGGTCCCTGGGGAGCACTTTGCCTAGATGAACCCGTGCTGTACTTGGCAACAAAGCCTAAAGGCGCATACCCTCCTGACTTCAGGTGAGAGCCGGCTCCTTGGACAACTCGAGGATCCAGAGACTCCTGCCTACTGCCCTCCAGGGCCCAGCCCAGTCAGGACTCAAGACTCCAAGCCTGTAACCCATGCTTTGTCTTTTCTGGTGCCACATGCTAGTCAGGCCAGGCCCCTGCCCTCAGGGACCCCAGGGCAGGTTGCTAGGCCTGAGCAGCCAGTAGATGCCCATGGGCTGGCCAAGGAAAGCTGTGGCCTCCTGAGAAAGCCCTACTTCTGCCTGCTGACCCATCATCACCCTTCTTCCATGGACTGGCTTGTCTGCCCATGCTCCCATGTACCCCCATGTGCACTTTGGCAGCACATGCCCAGCCACACTGAGGACTTCCCCCACCTTGGCCTTGCCCCAGATGCCCCCTCTCTCCTCAGGGCTGCCAGGCTCCTGACCTCCCTGCCCCCAATGATGGGATGGTACACATTTTCCCCAAGGACAGGAGGGGCCAGGCCCAGCACCCCCCAAGAGGCAGCAGCTGTGCTCACCACTCATCTCCTCAATCCCACACAAAGGCCTGTGACACCGAGGCCGCAGCCAGGAGCCATCAAAGCCCCCAGGTCTATAAGCAGTTCTTTTCCAGACACAGCCTTTGCACATGGGAGGATCCAGCATTCCCCAGGGATGAGACACTGAGCTGGAGGGTCAGGCATGACTGGGATGTGGACACTGTCCTGGGCCCCACCGGCTCTGCCCCAATTTCCACACCCACCACAGGAACAGCTCAGGGTGGTGGGGGTGGCAGGGCCATACTTGTGCACCTTAGACCCTGCAGCCACACCCACCAGAGCCTGCAAAGGTCAGCTGGGCCTGGCAGGCAGGCATGGGGACCCGCCTCCCCAGGCTAGCCCGGAGACTCAATAAACCTGATAGGCAGGTCTGACAGCAGTGTCCTCACTCCAGGAGCCACCCTAGAGTGGCTCTCAGATGCTAGTGGTGGGGTGAAGGCCAGAGTTGGAGAGCCAGGTGGCAGAGGGCTCTAGCAGGACCCTGGAGCAAGTCCCAGGCCTGGGACATCCAACAGCAGGCTCTGGATGGGAGGCCCCAGTATAGGAGGAGAGCCCCAGGGTGGGTGGGACAGAGCTGCCTAAATGCAGGGGCCCAAGAGCCTCAGACTGGGAACCCTGGAGGATTGGCTATGGCCAGGTGCCAAGCAGTTTGGGTACTCTTCAGTGACGCTGGTGTGGAGGCTCAAGTTTCAGACCCCACATCCTTGCCCAGCATAGCTCAGGACACATTGAGGCCACTCAGGGCAATTTATTGAGGTCTCAGTGTCAGAGGACAGGAGGTGGCACTCACACGTATGCACACGTACTCAGCAGCGATGCCTCACACACGACGCCCCATGAGCCACACTGTCCAAGAGTTCCCTTTCGCTAATGATGAGTGCTGCCGTGGGGGTCTGCAGTCCTGAGCTGGTCACGCCCACCCTCTCTAGGACTCTTGGCTGACCTAGTGAGGGCTGTGGCACTTCCTGTCTCAGGCACAGGACAGGCGTCTCCCTGCTGAGGAAGAAGGGCTCCTGCTGTCACTGCCAGTCCCCTCTGTCACGGGTCCCCTCTCACAGGCTGTTGCTTGCTGGCCCCAGGGCCACGGGCCAGGCAGATTGGCAGGAGACACTGCTGGGCAGGAGCTGCTACCTCCAGGAGTTCTGTCTCATAGGGGCCACTGCAGGGAGGACACAGCTGAGCGGGCTAGACCACACAAGGACCCTGTCCCTCCCAGATGGAGCAGAGCATGCAGACATACCCTCAGGGCTCAGGCTGGTCACTAGGACGGGACTCCGGGGGGCTCCCAGAAGGTCCTACAGGGAGAGCAGGTCAGCTCAGAGCTAGTCAGCCTGACACTGTGCCCAGCCCCCTCCGAGCGGCCCTGACCTGTGTGCCTGGGGGTGTCCTTTCAGGCCGAGGGCCAGGTGGCGGTGCAGCCCCTGCTTGTTGGATGAACTGCTGCAGATTACACTGGCGAAGTTCTCGGTTCAGCTCCTCCAGCTCCTGGGCCTGGGCCTGGGGCACAGGACACCTCAGGCTTTAGCCTTGACCCGAGACCACCTGTACCCGTGTCCTGGGATGGGCACTGTAGGACAAATCCCGTGGGCTCACCTGCAGGGTGTGCTCTGCAGCCTCCAGTGCACGGCTCACCAGGGCCAGGCTGCTCTGCACCTCCAGGCTCTGCCGCTCCTGGGCGGCCAGGTCCTGGCGCAGCTGCCCGGCTGCAGACACTGTGGGTGAGGGGGCCCCAGGGGCCTCTCCTGCCAGTCGCAGCTCAGCCTCCAGGGCACGGGCCTGGGCGTCCAGGGCCTGCAGCTGGGCGATGTGCTCTGAGGTGGCTGCGCTCAGTGCCTGCAGCTGGGCTTGCCCCTCCCGCTCCCGGGCCTGCTCCCTCCGCAGCTCCTGCTCCCAGAAGGCCTCCTGCACCAGCTCGGCCGCATTCCTCTGCACCCTCCACTCTAGGCCCTGCAAGTCCGAGGAGCAGCCCAGCACAGGTTCGATGGTGGCTGTAGGATCAGGGGGTATGGGACGTGGGGCCAGCTCAGGGTGCCCCAAGCCAAAAGCTGGTGCTTTGCAGGATTCCTGGCCCAGCACTGGCCGTGGCTTCACTGGGAGACTGGCACGAACTGGACAACGCTCAGGAGGTGGGCAGTTGTCTGAGGAGGGCCGTCCAGCCAGGCTGGGCCCTGTCCGCCTCAGAACAAACTGGACGTCACTGGAAAACTGGCCACAGGTGGCCTGGGCACCTACTGGACACTCCTGGGGCAGCATCTGCCGCTCCTTCTCCCTCAGACGCTGCACAAGCACAAAGCGGCCAGTTTGGCCTGGAGGAGGGGAGAGGTCAGTCTATGTATTCCACTGTCTGTCCTGCTGATGGCTGGAGAGAAAGGAGGGGCAGCCAGCCATCCCCACTCACCAGCCACCTAGCTTAAGGAGGTGGGGAAGAGCAATCGCAGTGATTAGCCCGCCCTCTATGAGAACACTAGAAAAAAACCCAGGGCCCTTCCTCAGCTCTTTCCTCCATGGACTCACCTATGGCTTGGGCCAGTGCGATGACCACTTCCTGGCAGGTGGTCTGCTCCGAGACCCCACAGACCACACGCTGGATGCCATCCACCCATACCTTCAGTTCCATGACGGCCAAGCGCATCCCAGGATTGCTGGAGGGTGCAGGATGCTTGGGTCACCTGGCTCAAAGACAACTCAAGTTGACCCCACCCTCTAGGTCCTTCACTTGGGCTCCCGCCTTTCTATGAGGAGCCCCACCCACAGGCTACACATTCCTGGGGCGAGATCAGTCAAGACCAGCCCCTCAAAAGGGTTCTAGAATGTCCCTCTCAGACAAGCACGTAGTAGTGTCCCCATTCTCCAGCCTCCGCCCCGCCTCCACACCAGGAACAAGCAAATCATTAACCAGATGCAAGGTTTCCTGCTCCCACCCCCACCCCACCTGGCTGCGAGGCACTGCCTTCCCCGCGGGCCCGCACCAACCGTGGCCTCCCTGGCATCAAGGGCACCGCAGGGAAAACCATTCCCTCTGTTGCCCTGGGAACGTCCCCCCTCCGGGAAGAGATCTGTCTCCAGCCCTTGGGACACTTCAGAGTCTCGACCCAGACCTGGACTCTCCAGGGTCAACCTGCGCTCCGGAGGGTCGTCCAGCCAGCGGGCGAGCGCTCTGGGTAGCCCCCGCACGCCCTCCCGCTCCCGAGGGCCCAGGCCCCGCGGCCCCGCTGCGGGCTCCCAGTCGCGCGCCGTACCCCCTGCCCCGCCCGCAGGGTGCGGCCACCCCGGCGCTGCCCTCCCCTCCCCCCGCCCCAGGGCCTGCGGGAAACTTTCTTCCGTCCCAAGGCCCCGCTCCAGGGGCCCCGGGACCGCACGCCACACGCATGCGGCTCAGGGGCCCGCACGGCTCACCTGGGCGCTCGCGAGCCCCTGAGATTCGGACATACACCCAGTCGTTCCCCGGCACCCAGGCGCCGCCGCAACCTGCCGCCTCCGGCACGGCGGGCGCGCCTGGCCGGGCCCCATTGGCCCGCAGCCCTCAGCGACTCCATTCGCTCCCCTGCACCTGCGGCCCGCCCCAAGCCCCACTCCATTGGCTGTCGCTCCCTCGCCCCGCCCATTGAACGGCCACCTGCCCCGCCCCCCGAGGAGCCAGGTGTGGGCGGGGCCGCGGCTTGGGGCGGGGCGGGGCCGCGGCTTGTGGGCGGGGCGGGGCCGCGGCTTGTGGGCGGGGCAGGGCCAGCCGGGGGTCCACACAAGCCGAAGGCCCACGGAGACGTCTGGCAGGTGCTTGGATACAGAGGTGTCGGAGGTGTCTGCATGGGACTTTCCGGCCTGCAGGAGAGGTTCGCCGGGGCTGGTGAGAGAAGGCCGCTTCCAGGGACCTCGGATACAGCCCTTCCGACCCACGCCCTCGGTCCTGCCTGATCCTGTGGTCTCTGCCGTGTGGCTTGTAGATGATGCACAGTGAGACGGTGAGACGGGGTTTGAAATCAATTCCCTCTGCTACCCTCTCCTCTCCTGCTGTCCCAGCTAGAACTCAAGGCAGCTGGCCCAGCAGACCCCGAGGGGTGATATTCAGAATCTGGGAAGCGGAGAGCTGGGGGCGCCCTGCCGAACAGTCAAAGGTCCTAACAAATAAACTAAAGTACAGGTGGGGCTAGGAAAAAGGTTGGAGAGTCCAACTGGTCAGTTAGGTCTGGGTCCTTCTCCTGGGCACTTGAAGAAGGATGGCATGGTTACAGAAACACCTCCAGGGCTCTGGGAGGTGGAACATGCAACAGGAGTGTGTGGAATTGGGGGGGCACCTGTCACTGAGGCAAAGCTCATGGAAGGGCACCTTTTCTGGCTCCCTTTCAGTCCTTTCCCAGCTCCCCTCCAAACACTGGCACTCATGCTGGGCACACACAGGCCAGCAATGTCTCAATGTCCATAGTCCATATCAGGCTGGGGAGGGCTTCAGGAGCCAGGTTAGGGGTGTAGAGATCGTGGCAGCCCATGCTGGTCCCTCCAGTTCCCTCGGTCTGCTCAGATTAGCCAGGCAGTGTTGCACAGCACACCTTGAGCAAGCAAGCCCAGAACTCATTCAGTGCCCTGGGTTGGGGTCTTCCTGGAAGCTTTTGGTAACAAACAGCCCCTCCCTCATGTGTCTGTATCCATGACAACAGAGCCCCTCCTCCCTAGCCTTGCAAGGAGCTCAGGCCTCAGGTGAGTGAGTGGTTGCTGAGGGGACAAATGAGTCACAGACATCATGAGTCCCAGAGGGTGAGGGGGGCAGGAAGGAGACAGCAAGGAGTATGGAATATCCTAGTAATATGTGGAGAATGGCCAGAAACACAGCTACAGACATTCACAAGGTGTCCCATTAGGTAGACACATCGGGAGTGTCTGAGAGTAACAGCCTGGAGACACTAAGGTCCCCACCACCTTACTAGCTCCTCAGAAGATCTGGAATGGCACCCAAGTCCTGCCAAGCCACTGAGGAGGGGCATCCAGCCAGAGCACCCCAGGACTCCAGAGCTCCTGAAGGCCAAGAGCCAAGACCCAGTTCCCTGGGGGTTTTCCCATCGACATACAGTAAGGGCATGGAGTGGAAAGAAGCAATCAATCTTAGGTGAGACCAGCCAGAGAGCAGGGCTTGTGAAGTCAAGGGTGCTGACTTGCAGGGTAGACCTGGAGAACTTGGACCTCTCTACCCTTCGGCTGCTATGGGGACACCGGCAGCTGGAGATCCAAGCCCTGCACTGGGTTGTCCAGAGTGGCCAAGACATTCACTACAACCACATCCTGCAGGAAGTGGCTGGGCTTCACCCTGAGAGGTCAGTGACAGCCCCCCAGCCCAGTCTGGCCCTCTGTCCCTGTCCTTGTCCTAGCCCAACCACTGAATCTCACCAGGCCTCTAGTTTGAGCTCCAGCCCTCACTATTACTCCCATACCTAGTCTTCACCTGACTTCCACCCTAATCTTAGACAAGTCAGTATACCAGGAACCTGACCCAGGTCCTAACTCTGGCAAGTCCGCGCGGGATGAACCTATCCAGTCGGGAGCTAACCCTGCCCCAGCCTGGATCTCACCCAGATTAGAGCTGGCCCAAGCTGGCCCCTGCCTTTCAGCTGAGAGGCCCCGCTGTACGTAGGTCCTATGGTCCAGTGGTGGAGAAGAGGCCTCCCGTGGCCCTTCCTGTCTGTGAGCAGCAGAGGGCTGCTGGGATCTAACCCTCCTCAAGACTAAAATGAACCCCACCACCATCGAGTCAGTGCTGAGCCGTGGAGGCTCATATGATAGAACTGGAATAGGGTTTTCAAGGCTGTGAATCTCTGTGGAAGCATCCTTCTCCTTCTGGTGAGTGGCTGGTGGATTTGAACTACCCACCTTTTGATTAGCAGCTGAATGCTTTAAATACCAAAACCCATCCAAATCCAGTGCTTTGAGTCGATTCAGCCTCCTAGCAGCCTTCCGTGGGCTTCTGAGGTGCCAGCCTCTACAGGGCCGCTGGTGGGTCTGAACTGCAGACCTTTGGGTTAGCAGTGTTCAGCCCTCTACACCACCAGAACTCCTTGCTTTAGGCTGCACAGCTTCCAAAATCAGAAGTTCCTGCAGCACCAAGTGCAGAACCTGACCCAGGAGCTTAAAGAACAGAAGAGCCAAGCATAGCTAGTGAGGAGTCTTGGGATTGTAGGCTGGTCAGGGTGGGCAGCAGGGGCTGGGGAGGGGCAGGGCAGGGGCTGGGCAGGGCTATGGAGCAGGGGCTGTGGGGGGCAAGGGTTGGGGTGGGGGCTGGACAGGGCAGGACAGGAGGTGGCGGAGAGGGCAGGCTGGGGCAAGGGCGCAGGGCTTTCAGGTCAGGGTGAAAGTATGCATAGAAACAGGTCGGAGGAATTAGAGGCCAGACAGGGTTGACTGACAAGGCCCAATCTGGAGAAGGGGGCGCCGGGCAGAGGCCCCCGCCCACCCCACCGGCCCCAACTCTTGCAGGAGCAGGAGCGACTGCAGCTGCGGCTGCAGGAGGCCATGCAATCGCAGGAACAGCTGGAGGAGAAGATGCAGACCTTTCAGAAGTCCTACTTTCTGAGGTTGGCCTGCTCCTCCTGGGTGAGACGTGTGCTTCGCTCTCAGACCCGGAGTGTGGAGGTGAGCCATGCCATGGGTCTCCCTCGCCCACCTTCGTGGACTTCTCTCGGGCAGCACAGCCCTCTGGCTGGGGCCTCCACAGAGGCGATCCACTTTGTGCACGCCGAGGTGTGTGCTGTGCTCAGGTGTGTGCACACACAGGGCAGTAGTGAAGTCCTGCCCTCCCACCTCTGCTGTCCTGTACGAGGCAACAGTGGAGAACCTGATAGAGCCAAGCGACTCATTCGAGCAAGAGCAGGCCTCCTCTGCTAGGGAGGTGAGTGAGGCTGTCCCCACCCCCCTGCTCCTCACAGGGCTGAGCCCCTGCAGACGCGATGGCCCCAGCCTGGTGCTGGTGACAGGGCTTCCACCTGAAGGATGTGGCCTGGAACAGCGTTGCCCAGCGGTACCCCAACCTGTTCACAAAAGAAGTCATCCTGGAGCACAAGTCACAGCAGAGCACAAACCCTGCCCCATGTGGGAAGCATGTCACTTAAATCTCCCAACTGCAGTTTTCTGATCTGCAAAGCAGGGCCGGGAGGGGGTCTGAACTGGCCAGGGAATTCTGTGCTCTTCATAGCCAGGTTCCCAATCACAAGCTGGAGGCAAGTGGGTCAGGGGTAGTGTCCACAGCTAACACTGGCACCTATGAGCAAAGCGTGTCTGGCAGGCAGGGCTCAGTGGGATCCAGGCTCCACCCAGAGCACACGGATATCCACAAGAGTATCAAGCGCAGCAGCCCCAGGCCTCAGATTATGACTCCACAGACTCCCTGCTGTCCGTGCCCTCTCCAGTGAAGGAGCTGACAGGACACCCACCCGGAAGGCCACCAGCTCCTCTTCCCAGCAGACCAAGGACTGGGAAACGACCATCAGTGTAGATGAGCCCAAAGGACTGGAAGGGGTGCTAGGCGGGTCTCCTAAGCTACCTTCATCCCCATTGACTCCACACAGGCCTGCCCAGAGGCTAACCTGGATGGACAACCCAGGGGGCAAGGCCCACCCACCTCCCAAGGCTTGGCTGGAGAGCTGGGCAGTCTGAGCAGTAGATGGTGGTCTGTGGTTACCCTCGAACTTCCCTCTGACCACTGATGCCTCTCCTGCTCCCTCCAAACCACCGCTCCTAATCCCCCCACACACACCCCCCAAGGTACTGCAGGGCCGGCCTGACTCACCCTCAGTAGCTGCTCCAACCGAGGCTTCTGTGACCTTCCCTCCTCAGATTTCGAGGAGAGCTCAGAGGAGGAGGGAGCCCAAGCTGCCCCGGAGTCCGAGGTCAGAGGAAGCTCCAACAATTACAATTTCAGGGGAGGACGATGCAGCTCAAGGGCGCGGTTTGGACTGTCCTGGGCGGACATCTCATCCTAAGGGCGCATGTGTGCGCTCAGGGCCTGCTCCCACCTGAAGATCGTGGCCGTGAACCGCCGAGAGAAGTTCGTGCGTGTCCTCAACCAGTCGCTGGAGGAGACTGCCGACCTGGGCGGCTTTGTGCTGCAGCAGCGTGTGTGCGACTTCCCAGTGTGTTTGTACCGCTTTCCGCCCAGCACTGTGCTGGCACCTCGGCACCACGTAAACACGTAACGGTAAGTTCTCCGTGCGCCCGCCCGCCCCGCCCTCACCTGGCCCCTCCGTCACCACAGGTGTGGGGCGAGGGGATCCGCTGCACCAGGAAGCACCTGCCCAGGGCCTTGCGCCAGGAGCTGGTCCTCTTCCAGTCCAGCCGCCGCTGCGTGACCCTCCTTCTGAACCCCAAGGGCAAGGTCAGAATGGGCCAGGACCTGGGGGGAGCGCTCTCGTCGGGCAGGAGTGACCACCACGCCCGGCCTCGCCCTGCAGGTCCTCAGTGAGTACCGGGCCCCTCACTACGTGACCCCAGTCTCGAAGATTTTCTCCGACAACACGGGCTTGTCCATCGACTGCTTCCCGCTCTCAGAGGCTCCGCCAGACGCCAACGCTTGTGCAGAACAGCGCCAGGCTTGTTTCCTGCGCAAGAACCGCGCCCGGGGCTCCCGAGCAGAGCACGGGGACGCCGAGGTGCGGACCATGCGGCCCTCTGTCCACGCTTCCCCCTGGCCTTCCCCCCCACGCCCCAGCATCGCCTCTAGGGTCCAAACTCCGCCCCAGCCAGGACTTGCACCCCATCTCTGCTCCATGGGTGTCCATCAGCGCAGGACCTTCTCTCCGCCCTGCCCACCACGGAGGAAAGGCTTTAGTCAAGACTCCTTTACGCCACCAGGACCCGGGTTCTTTTGCAGCTTCTGACCTCCAGCAAACTCCTGAGTCAGTGGGAGGCCGAGGCCCCAGAGCCCCTGCCCACAATCTCAGGTGAGAGCTTGGGAACCAAGGAGGAAGAGGGCAGGCTGGACACGGCAGCCGGCCTAGGAAGGAGCAGTGAGAATGCGCAGAGCAGGGGGTGGTGGTCCCGTCTTTTCCGGGCCCCTCCCGCGCCCACCTCGCAGGGAGCAGCCCCAGAACCCCTCCTCTCTCCTACGCCTGGTCCTCACTATAACACCTCCGCCTCCTCCCCGGGCCCCGGGCCCCGCCCCCAGTCCCTGTCCTCCTCCCCACCTCAGATCTCCAGGGACCCCAACCTGCTCCCTTGCAGG